GTTTCTTCGCCCTCCTCGTCCTCTTCATCAATTGGATTCGTTGATGGACATACCCCCATTCTTGTCAACCCTCTTTTAAGCGATGCAACCCTCAACTGTTTACAATTCTCACAATCTGGGATTTGCTCTGACCACGCAATACACTAATCAACTACTACAAAAACCTCAATCACGTTCTTCCGAAAGGTGACCGGCTGAGGTAATTTAAACAGAACTGATACAAACCAAAAGCTCTCGCTTGAATCTCTTTCATCTAACAAGACCTCAGAGAAAATGATATCCATAAATAAGATCCCGTCTCAAATAAACTGTTCTTCTTTAATACTTAATGAGGAATTCTGAGAAACCACAAAGAAACATCAGAGCAGTAGAAGCATGGTTACACGAAATTAATATGATTATATACAATTTTCGTGTACAAGTTCAGGTTCCAACGACACTAATGTTTGCATTTTTTTTCTATATTTAAGTATATAAAGAGAACTCCCAAAATTAGAGATCTTTATAAACGATGATAAAGCTTTAATTTCTTATTCCTTTGAATCGAAACAACATGTAATTTCTTAGAAGAATTTCTCGGATCTGAGTCGAGCACGAAAACTGTGTTTTAAATTATTAATTCCGTTTTAAAGAAATAATTTATTGCTAAATATTATTTGCGCAATTAACGACTAAAATACAATGCGCTTTCCTTTGTCTCTATTATGGAAGGGGACGCAAAAAATTTTGAACACCAAGGGGAACTGAGGCCATAAATTCCTTCAACTTCATAAGGAAAGAGAAGAAATTATTCAGAAAAAAAAAAAAAAATAAGAGAAAACTTTATTTTGTTTTTGATCGTGTCAACAAAGAGTAGAGTCCTACTGAGTGAGATGAGAGGATCTGTTGAATTTAGCGCAAATTTCTTTTACTCCAGCTATACTTTTCGATGTAATTAGTGGTCATAATTGGTTTTAAAAACCTTAAAAAGGTGTTAATGGTGAACGTGTTTACACTTCATTGTCATACAAATTTGTATAGGAACTAATATGAAACATTATTAATGGAAATGAACCACATTATTAACGCTCCAATTAAATACCAGATAATACGTTATTTATTGTTTCCTTGCTTATTAACTTTGTTAGCTCGCCAAATCAAAATTAATTTGAATTCTGAAAATACGATGAAGGCATAATGACATTAGTTACAAATTTTCCTCATGGAATTAGGGCCATCTGGGTAGAAGATGAGAAGTCAGAGGAAGAAGGGACTCAAAACTGAGGAGGGCTGAAATTACCCACCCTTATCCCAAACCTTCCTTGTGTGAGGCAAAATTTATATTTCTGAACCTCTATATTTAAGATTTAAAATAAAAGTTTCTTCCCCTATCTCTGGTCCCTCACCCCCAACCCCCATCTGCTTTTGTAAGAATCCGGGATTTGACCAAAATACTTTGTAGGATTCAGGAAAACGCAAAATATCCAGACGAATTCGGGATTTTTCTACTTCTGAAAAAGCACCGCGGATGTTCGCCAGAATTTAGGCATGATATGCGAGAGTTTTAACTTGTATTTCGGCAATCCGGGATGCGGAAATCGTGACGACCTACATAAACACTCTACAGGTGAAAGCGAAATGACCAAGTCAACGTGACTGGTCGATAGCTGTTTAATTGAAATTGTTCAGTAATCGACGGACGAGCAGAAAGCTGAGAGTATTTTGTT